AGCTAAAAAGCACCAACATATTGGAATTCTAGCTGCTAGCTTCTTCTTGCAACGACACCGTGACCCTGAACAGCTGTGCCGCATCGCCTGTGCCCAAACCGGGCAACATTCAACCTCAAACCAAATTTAACTCCCTCTGCTCGATCAGAAAAGGACATTTCGAGACCTCTGAGAAGTGTCCACGCCTCCGCCCGGCAGCGCAGGCAGCGACGCCGGTCGCCAAAGCCAGGGCCTGCCAGGATAAGAAATCAATGAAGTTTCCCCAAATACAGATCTGCAAACTCAAGCAGCCCATAGTTCAGGTACGCGGTCAAAGATAAGATTCACAATCCATGATTATCAAGTCCCGGTAGGTCGCATGTGAAGCTCAGATACTGCCAATGAGGCATCCGAGGAAATGTCTGAATCCCGACCTGAGCCGACGTTGACCGCTGCCCGTGCGGCGTGCGAACAGGACCTTTGCTGCAAAGAGCGCAACCAACCACCCCATACACTCTTTTGCATCCAGGCAAATTGCAGTCTTGCCACTCTAAATCCCGAAGTCGTGCTGGAAGCTTTGAGGCTCGTAAAAAAATTCCGTTTGCTTCCATCAAGAAATCGATCAGGAAACCTCGCACTTCGCGGGTGTGATGCTCCAACCCTCGGAATTCAGTTTTGACACCACTCCGCACACCCGAACGAGTGCAAAGGCGGTCGATGGGCACTCCCCGACCCACTCCAAAGTATCTTCATCTGCGACCTCTTCCTGTGCAAGTTCCCCCCTCCTCTCGGATCTGGGGCTCCTCAAGCTCACTCTCCCACGCGAAAGAAGATAGCTGGAGCTTGAAATCCGAACGACGGCAAACCCTCAGACAACATGGAGGAGTTCGGGCTTGGTGCTCGCAAGTACACTTGGAACGGAGCGCCGCGTACGAAGCAAGAAGAGCAGACCGAGTGAAAGGGTTCGTGAAATTAGAGTGATAGAAGCAAACAAAAGGAAAGCAAAATACGGCAGGCTCAGACACAGGAGCCGTCAGTGTACGGACAGAAAATCGAGACGGGAGTCAACAGCGAGAGAGAGAGAGGGAGAGGGAGAAAGAGAGAGAGAGAGAGAGAGAGAGAGAGAGAGAGGGAGGGCGGGCGGGGCGAAGTGTGCGAGACCAAATTTCAACTTGAGAAGCAAACAGTGAGACAAAGAGTCTACTAGACAAGCCAATTTCAGAGAAGAGCGAAACATGCGAAAAAAGTTTAACATTTTGCACGAGAAAGCGGTGTGAACCAACAGACAGTTTAAAGGGCTTTAGCACTGTAGCATACACGAAGAGTCATGTCACAGAGACCAAACTGAATGCAAGAACGTATGCGAGGCACACACTGCTCCAACACACAAACCGAAGACATCCACCAACGAGAAAACACGTGCACCCTCATCACTAAGCATGTTAACCCGCCATAAACGGACATGAAGAAGAACTTACAAAGGGGAGCAAGTCGGACGCGAGTATGCTAGATTCAGCATACAGGATAAAAGTGCAGCGTTGTCAAGCCTCCCACTGTAACAATTGAATTGATTCATTTTGAAGTTGGACCCTTCCTCTTTCAACCTCAACTGGCCCATGTCGACTGCAGCACGGGACGGACCTGCGGGGTGGAACGGAGCTGGAAGGGCTAAACCGATTCCGCGGGTCGTAACCCCACCATCCAGGTTACTGAGCTGCGAGCTGAAAGAGGCTGGTGCGTGTGATGGCGAGGATCCTGGTGTTTCAGCAGCCAAGGTTCAAGTTCAAGTCTCCGGGCCATTCTGGGTGGTTCCTATGCACACAACATCACACAACTGTCCGCTACTATCCCTCCAGGTGCTTACTCATAAGTACTAACCCACGCTCAACCCTAGAAAGCCTCGAGAACCAACAGGCCTGCACTGGAAGTCTGCCGCAAGGCAGCGCGCACGGGAGGCTCTGCTGACGCCAGCTGCATGATCTAACGCTTTAAGCTTCTGTGGCAGCTTGTACTGTTGTATACCGACTCCGAAGCAGGTGAACCGAGCTTCAAAGAGAGCTGTAGCATCTCTTTCCAAGGCTTTGAAGGTATGTTCATAGTTGTTTGATCCTGCATTGGCTGTTGCGCAGCATCCGTCCCATCAACGATAAGTCTTTCGTGGCTATACTCTTTGAGGAATGTCCGTACATTTCATTGGCCGGTCATTGAAGGACGACCTCTTGAAGGACCAAGGCTTGAGCAAAGATCAGTGTCTCTCTGGCGATAGTGGTAGCATGATGACGATGAGAATAACAGTGGTGCTGGTGGTGGTGCTGCTGCTGCCAGTGGTTCTGGCGTGTTTTATCACACGGCGGTAGCATTATGATCGGGATGGTGAAGGTGAAGGACACAGTGGGAATGGCCTTGATGGTGACGGTGGTCCTGAAAATGCATACCCGACAACTTCACCACTTGAGCAGTGACTTAGTCGTACATAAGACGGCGGATAATGGTACTAATGAATAAGTCGTCGTGGTGCAGTCGTCGTCGGTCGCAGTAGTTGTTGTGGAAGCAGTTGCAGCAGCGGTTGCAGAAGCACTAGCAGCAGTAGTGCTAGTATCCGATGTCGTCAGTAGTGATTGATGAAGAAGTAGTCGCCATCGTCGCAGGTGGTAGCGGTTGTGGTAGTGGCAGTGGCAGCGGCATTGCTGTTGGTGGTGGTGGTGGTGGTGGTGGTGGTGGCAACAGCGAGCAGTAGCAGTAGCAGTAGCAGTAGCAGTAGCAGCAGTAGCAGTAGCAGTAGGAGTAGTTGTGGTGGTAGTAGTAGTAGTAGTAGCAGCAGCAGCAGCAGGAGGAGGAGTAGTAGTAGTAGCAGCAATAACCGTCGTCGTCGTCGTAGTCGCAGACGTGGCCGCAGTCGCAGCAGCAGTAGTAGCAATATAGCCGTCATCGTAGTCGTAGCATGTTGTCGCAGTGCTGCAATCTTGTAGCGTGGTTACAATGACGGAGCTGAGGACGACGACCAGCCCCACAACCACTCCCGATGATACTGTGTTCTGCTCGTTGCCGTGTTAGTTGAGCAGGATGCGTATGAGTGTTTGCTTAGCTCGTTTACGTAGCTGTTGCGCTCCCATCCTTCTTGTGGCCATTTTATAGCCTGCAGCGTCACTATTTGTTGACTGTTGCTCTGGCACAAGTACGACTGGCACGCAGCATGGCCTTCTTGAGTTACAAGTGCGACACGTCTTGTTACTGTTACTTGCTGATTTTCCTTTCCACCAACACACACACACACGGACGCCTTCAGGATGAGCCGTGCAAAAGCCCGGCATACTGAGGACCTGGCATTGGACGTCCGTGAGAGACTCCCCTGGCCGAAGTTCGCGTCTGAACCTGAAAGTACGCTGAACTACGCTACACCAGTCGGTCACCACTTGGCATTCCAGGCTGCAAGGCTCTTTGTATCAGGCTTCAAGCTCTGCAGGTTTTGGGATGGATGCCTCCGTAACTCAGCCCCTACGCTGCGGGTTGAATGGCTTCGACTCTCCTACTGTGTTGAGCTTTTTACTTTAGCCGTAGGGTTTTCTGGTGTGGATTCATGGCCCCCTGATTCGTTGAAGCACGGGCTCAAGCAACGGCCATGTCAGCGTTCAATGGCAATTCAGGTCATATAAGGTTCTCCAGCGGTGCGGTACGTTGGCCTTGGCGGCTGCTGCTCACAGCGGCCCACTGAGCCATTAAGTGTGCGGACGAAGCTAAGACACCATGGCGGCTGTTCGAAGGATTTTGGGGCCATTTGATAGCATGAGCTCGGGGCTGAAGGAGTCAGGGAAAACCCTAGCCAGCCGAGGCGATTGCTCGAGGCCGACATGTGTAGGCATCCTGTCTTACAGCTTTCACACTTTCACTGCTGGCACGAAATGCTGCCCAGAGGTACACGTCCCTTTCATGACTCACGCTCCGATTGTCCGCCGTGCGGTGCCCAACGAACAAGCTAAAGCAAAGTCGGGGAGCCTAACCAACAGGCATGACCCTGCAAAGGACAACTGAGTCCGGATACTTGGCACCCTTCTTCTCCTTGAGGCGTGCGGGGGACTCAGCCTGACAGGTCAGTCACCACTGCTTTCCTATTCAGTTTCGTCCTCCTCCCTGCCTCGCTACCGAAAATGCAAGCAGCATCACGTGCACAATCACTTGCATTACAGGCTGCTGCAGGAATACCATGTCTGAGCCACAGGCATACTTGTGCTCCGGCTCACGAGTGGCCTTGCACAAGTACAAGCGAAGAAATGCACAAGACATGCGGGTCGGCATCACGTCACAAGGATAGCACTGTTTGCATTGAAGTGGTGGTGGTGGTGGTGGTGGTGGCGGCGGCGGCGGTGGTGGTGGTGGTAACAGCGAGCAGTAGCACTTAGTAGCAGTAGCAGTAGTAGTAGCAGCAGCAGCAGTAGCAGTAGCAGTAGCAGTCGCGGTCGCGGTCGCGGTCGCAGTCGCAGTCGCAGTCGCAGTAGTAGTAGTCGTCGTCGTCATCGTCGTAGTAGTAGTAGTAGTAGTAGCAGCAGCAGCAGCAGCAGCAGCAGGCAGTCGTAGCAGCAGCAGTAGTAGCAGCAGGAGCAGCAGCAGCAGCACCAGCACCAGCAGCAGCAGCAGGAGGAGGAGGAGTAGGTAGTAGCAGCAGTAGTCGTCGTCGTCGTCGTCGTAGTAGTAGTAGTAGTAGTAGCAGCAGCAGCAGTAGCAGTGGTAGCAGCGTTTGTCGCACCATTATTATTATTATTATTACTGATAGTATTGTCGCCGGGGGGAGGTGGACATTGTACGGGATTGGGGGGCAGGTGGTGGTGTCTTGGGGGTCAGGAAAAGGAAAGGGAGAAATCTTTTCCCAAGACCCAAAAAAAGGAGGAGAAGGTCAAGCCAACATGAAGAGTTGAGGCTGCGACGACTGGAAGAGCTCCAGTCTCCGAAGCAGGTGCGGCGCTTTGCGGCTTTGCAAAGCGAATCTTGGGCTCCGTCCCGGTGCAGCCCCTGAGGCAGAGGAGGCCATGGCCAATGCCGCCGAGGAGCCGACAGAACGACTCGAAGTAGAGTCTTGCAAGATGCGTCTTCCTTTCGGAGTTCGCAAGAAGCGAGGACCGCCTGAAGGAACGCGTCCGACGTCTCGAGTTCAAGCTGGCAGATGCGGAGTCCTGGAACGACAAGATGAGTGAAGCAGTGCCTTGGTCCGCATTGACAGTCTCGCCCCGGCAAGATTTCGTCAAAGTATCCTTGGGATGTGCGGATTGTCTTCCTGAGATGCAGAAGCTCTTGCAGACGCAGGCTGTGGGGAGCTTTCGGGAACGGAAGAGTCGATGCTTCATTTCAAGTTCCGCCCACTCAGATTTCCAAAACAGACTGCAAGCCAGTTGCTTGTTTGAAGAGGCCGGACTGGAGCAGTCCGTGGAGTCTTTGGAGACGCAGCACCTGGGCCGCCCTTCAGTTGTCAATCCCCGCCCGCCTCTCACGTGCGGATGTGCAGGTGTCCGTGCACGTGCATGTACCGTCATGTACTCATGGATACAGGTGAGCATGCAGGCAGGACGGCATGCGTGCGTTCCATGGGTTCTTATTGAAGCAGCGCGTGATGAAACAAGCGAAGGCACGGATGAATGAAGTCACTCTTCAGAAATGTGTCAGTGCACAAGGAAGCGTCCCAGGTGTGCAGTGCTCCGGCATCAGACGAGTGCAGCGGAATCCTGCACCCCGGCGGGCATTAAGACGCAGAGATCGAGTTGTGTCGAGGCAGACGGGTGGATGAAATAGCTGATTTAGGGAGGCTTGCTGTACAGCCTTAAGAATTGGTCGGCAGCACGCATCATGTGATGAACCTCATGCGGTTTCACGGAGCATTTTTGTCGCATGACGTGAAGCACTGGCCTCGGAGTCAACCCACAAATGGGGCATGGGGGCTAGGGCTGCCTAGGCGCAACAATTCCCCGACAGTCGCATATTCCCGTAGAATATAGCCCAAGGCCTCAGTCCAGTGATCCAGGCGCCTATATTTGGTATTGAACTGGAGTTGGAACGGAGGCTTCTAGGTTTCGTGGTGTTTCGTTGCGCGAGTGTGAGAATGGAAGCTTCGCCGCTTCGACAAAATCTGACTCTGGAGGGCTCAAGAGGCAGCGAGAGGTGCAAAGCCCTGACAAAAACCAATGCTCTGGACTCTAGACTGTAGACATCTATAGAATCAGCTTCTTGCTTAGCTTCTCTTGTCTAGTGTTCTTGCGACTTGCAGGAATCCTAAAACCACAAATTTAAATCCTTAAGGCGCTTGTGCCCTCCGATCCAAAAGTGCGATCTGCCCTGAGCCAGCCCCACACCTCACCAGCAAAAGCTGCCCAGGTAAGGATCACCTTGAACCCTAAACCCTAAACCCTAGCAGAACCTTGTTTCGCACAGTCACTTTTCAACAAATCTCTCCTCAGCCAACCTCGCTTGTGGGCATTGATCCTTAGCCATGCGAGAGGGAAAAAAAACCCTAGCAGAAGCTGCCCAGGTAAGGATCAGATTGAAGGATGGCTGGAGAGCCAAAGGATGGCCCAGGAGTCGACGATCGAGCAGCTGCGAGCAGAGAATGTGACCCAAAGCGAAGTTCTCGGGTCACAGCTCTTAGGGTTTCATGCAAGGCTTTTTGTTTGGTTTGGGTCTTGACAGGATGCGGACAGAGTCTCTATCGAGTTTGCACCAGGCTACAGGTCTTAGGATGTGCGTGAGGTTTGCGTTGAATCCGTCAAGGCTCGCGAGCCAGAGTAAACGAGCAGAAACCTTGGAAAGGCAATAGGCCCTCTGACTGAGTGTGCTCGGTTTTGTACTGCTCGAGCATCTTGTGCTAGCCTTCTGCTAGCAAGTCCCTCCGCGTCTGGCCGAATGGAACTTTGACGTGATGGGCAAGCGAGTTGCCATCTTGCGTGTTGTTTTCCATGCAGTGTTCTTGTGATGCTTTGAGATGCCACTGATCTCGATATCTGCCTGCCAGATAGACGAATAGGTAGCTAGTTAGACAGAGAGAGGGAGAGACACACATCCAACAATTCTCAACCGGCAGTATCGAACAATGGATCCTCAGAAAGAAAGTCTTGTGCTTAGCCAAAGCCGAAGTTCTCTTTGTCGACCCTTCGGAGCTCTCGATGCTCCTGCTGGGGATTTCAGGTGAAGTTGCAGAGGGAGAACGCCACGCTTGCGGAGCAAGCCCAGCTGCAACGGCAGCGTGCTGACAGGCTGCACCAGGAGAATGACCAACTTCGAGGCTGTTCTTCAAGCTTCACTATGATCCTGCAGTCCGTCCTATGAATCGCGACCCTGTCTTCACCGCCCAATCCCTCCATGAAGCCCCGCCTTGCTTTGGGTAGAGACTGGCAGAGGCTGTATAATACATACTAGATAGAGACACAACATAGACAGAACGATAGACAGACGGACAGACAAAACTAGATAGTTATATAAATCGACAACTAGCAGGATTGTTGGATAGATAAAAAGCGAGGTAGATAGATAGACAGCTCGCCTCAGTTTGTCCCGGAGGCCAGGGAGGCTACCCCGAGATGCTCCCCGATGGGCTTGCGGCAGATTGCGATGCTTGCAGTGATGCTTCGTGGGTGTCTTGGCTCTGAGTCCCAGATTGTCCCCACGAGCCGATAGCAGCAGCCTGGAAAACCCTCAAGCTGCGTTCTGAGGTTTGTGTCCTGAGCAGTGACCGCAACATCTTTGCGGCTGGGACGATGCTGAAGGCCAAGGTCGGACAGGCGTTTGAGTACCTGCAGGCGCGCGGAGATTCGAGTTTCTAGCAACGACGGGTGACGACGGTGCAAGCTGTCAGGCCAAGGACCTACAGAAGGGAGCCCAGATATTGGCCTCTGACGACCAGTCTTTGCTGGAGGCCAGAGTTTCGGGAGTGTTTTTGTTTCGATTTCGATTGATCGTCAGGTGCTCGACACCCCAGAGGCCCAGAGATCTGTGGAGCTCATCGAACTGTGGACGGAGGATCGGACTCTCGGCCTTTATCACTGTGTGCCATGCCTGAAGGTGTTTTATCTGCTCATGCGAAACCTGGGGCTCAAGCTATTTTTGGTCAAAACCAACCGAACTTTCATGCAAACGACCAGTAGCAATGCTGCTGCTTGCTTTCCTGTGCGTCGTCCCTTCAGCAGCACTGGAAGTACTGGATGTGGGTGCACCGCGTACAGGCACCCAGTCTATGCATGTTGCAATGAACATTCTCGGCCTCAACACGCTGCATAGCGGCTATTCGTTTCTGAAGCGAGCACCGTGGTGCGAGTACGTGTTTGCCAATGGCTCGCTGGAGGACGCGATGGCCACTTTAGAGGGCTATGATGCTGCGATGGACGAGCCCTTCCAACTCGTCTACGAGGAGATAATGCGGGCCTTCCCGAAGACAAAGTTTGTCTTGACAATCTCGGACCCCGAACGCTGGTACGAGAGCTATACTGAGCTGATTGCAGGTATGGCTGAGACTAGCAATCGAACCCACGGCCGCAATCTCCGATCTGGCTTTCGCGCTTGGCTCGACAGCGATCTGATGACAAGGTGCACAGCCGCGCGTTACTGGGGCTGCGACTTTGGCAACGAGACCGGAGAGGACACGAAAAAGCAGTGTCTGGAGGCGCGCTGAGACTGAAATCTCGCAGTCCTAAGTGCAAGCTGCCTCAGCCTGTGCCGAGAGACTTAAGGAGCCTCAGAACCGGATGCAAAGCACAAAGAACCACAATATGTCTAGTAGCTGACAGTAGCTGATACTGGTGGCGAACTAACGCAGCTTCTCTACTGCAGGACAGTTGGCCGCACATGTTGCACTGCAACATCCTACAGCCATCCAGGACATGCCTACGAAAGAAAAAAAAGATGTCGCGTTCAGTATTCTATGGCATTCTATCTGTTGCAGTCTATTGTTGGGGGGGGGGGGGAGGGGATGGCTGCCTGGCTGATCTCACACCCCGACATGGGGAGAAGGCCATTGGACAGACGCGAGCCAAGTCGGGTAGGTCTTCGGGCCAGGGTCGTCGGGGTTCCCGTGCCCCAAGCAAGCAAGCAAGCAATGACAAGAGAAAAAAGACAGGAAGGTGCAAAACGTAGTAAAACGGGAGAGACACAGAGAGAGCAAAAGAGCGCGATGAGGAAAAGGCACGAGAAAAGGATAACCAAGACAGCTGCAGACGAGGAAGACATGAGTCACACACAGCGCCTGAAAAGTGGGAGGCTTACCAGCAGCACAACGAGCGGGTGCAGCAAGTCATCCCCGCTGACCGGCTCCTTGTGTCTTTTTGCTGCAATCCTGCATCAGGTGGTTTTGGGTTCAGGCTTCACAGGTTTAAGTCTTTTGAGTTTAGGGAATAGCTTTCTGATGAGGAGCCAAGGCTGTGTTCATTTTGTCCCAAGGCTATAAAGTCCTCGGCCTTCAAGCCTCCGTGGTATCTAGAATCTAGAGATTGGAGTCCTTGTTCTTCGAATATTTCTGCAGAGCAAGGCACCGCAGGTTTTAGGGCAGGTGCTCCAGGGGTGCCAGGCTGGTTTGGGACCTTTGGATATTGCTCCTGGCCGCATTGAACGCAGGTACAACTTTACCGACGGCTGGGCACCGCTGGCGCACTTCCTGGGCAAGCCCATCCCGGACGTGGAGTTTCCACACGTTGATCTGCCTGGCCTCATCTTTGAAACATGACTGCTTTTAGCAAGGCTCTAAATTCACGGGAAACCTTTGACTGGTGTTGTTTTTTTTAACAATGTTTCTCTTTCTGTTGAGTGTGTGATTATGAAGTGCAAACGACGCAGGAACATCACGAGCCTGAGCCATCCGAGCCCGTCTCGTTTCTGCAGGAGTCGATCCAACTAGCTTCGGAGCTCTGAGCATGACCGGAGAAAAAGGCAGCGAAAAAGCAAAGGCAGAGTGCAAAACGGCCGTGTGCTTTCCCTTCTCTTCGAGTCTGCCCCACACGCCGTTTGGCAACCTCTCTTGGCTAGCTCGAAGCCTTGCAGCTGTGAGCCTTGTCTATCTTGACAGCCGGTTTTGTGTTTCTAGAAGGGGCATTTCCTGGATCTGAGGATGCTTAGCGTTGCGCGCCAGCAGCTGCTCCTGTTTGTGCCCGAATCGGGAGACCCACTGCAGGAGGCCTGCGCCTGCCTTAGTGTTACAACTGAGTCGCTGTGGGGCCTGAGGGATTCAGTTGGCAGATGACATGAGGCAAGGCCACCAGATTCTTGAAATTAAGTTGGATCGTGGGCTTCCGGACAAACTCGCGTGTTCTTTGCAGGAAGCCGCCTCACTTGCGCAAGCGTGTTTGGCCGAGACATTGCATCCAGGCGCCTGGTTCATGACGGGAAGCTGAAAACCCCTGCCTTCCCACAAGCATATGCTTAGTATGCTTAGGCTGCTTTCCAAATCTCAACATGGAGAGACAGCGTTGAATGCAGTGGGTCCAGGGGAGCCGCCAGGAATCCAAAAAGACAGCAAACCGAAAGACGATGGCAGGTGATTGGATCAAAGTGAACGGCCGCTTCTCTCGACTGACGCGTGTGGAGGTCCGAGCTCTCGAAGAGGTGTCTTGGATTGGTTGTGCCTTTATCAAGCTCCCTTTATTCTTGATGTGGTCCTAGTCGTGGTTCTACTTCCGGTGAGTTGCCCATATATATTCGAGGCCTTGGCTTCGCACTGCTGTTGCTGCTCGCTTACTACTGCGGTGACTATGGCTGGTGTCGTTGCCGTCGACGTCGTCGTGGTGGTACAGTAGTAGTAGCAGTAGTAGCAGTAGTAGCAGTAGTAGCAGTAGCAGTAGTAGCAGTAGCAGTAGCAGTAGTAGTAGTAGTAGTAGTAGTAATAATAGCAGTAGTGGCAGTAGCAGTAGCANNGTAGTGGTGGTAGTGGTAGCGGTGGTAGTGGTAGTAGTGGTAGTAGTGGTAGTAGTGGTAGTAGTAGTGGTAGTAGTAGTGGTGGTAGTAGTAGTAGTAGTAGTAGTAGTAGTTGCAGTAGTAGCAGCAGCAGCAGCAGTAGTAGTAGCAGCAGCAGCAGCAGTAGCAGCAGCAGCAGCGGCAGCAGCAGCGGCAGCAGCAGCGGCAGCAGTACCAGTGTTTGTACCAGTACTAGTGCTAGTACTGATACTAGTACCTGTACTAGTACTAGTGCTGCTGCTTCTACCAGTCTTCTTCTTTTGCTTGTTAATAGAAGTAGTAACAGTAGCGGTAGCGGTGGCAGTAACAGTAGCGGTGGTATTAAGTAGTGGTAGGAGCAGTAGCAGCAGTATCAGAAGCAGCACCGCAGTCGATCTCGCCGTCGCAGTTCAGTAGGAGTTGCAGTAGCAGGCCGTGGTCTTGGTGGCGGTGGTGGTGGTTGTGGGAGTCGGAGTAGGAGCGGAACAGCAGTGGGAACAGGTAGCAACTATTCTTCTCGTTGCTGCTGCAGCCTTTCGAATGATAGTCACCATCATCGTCATTTGAATTTTTGTGTTTGACTGGGAGGGCTCACATACTTCCAAATGCCTGCCACTGAGTCAGACTGTGGGCATGGCCGCACATCCATCCACCAGTCGTATTGCTGTTTATCCGACTTTATCGTCATAATCTGCGATCTTCCCCATCGTCATTGGGGTGCTCTTATTCCTACCTTTGTCAGAGTAGCCCGTGGTTTGTCACTGCTACAGAGCTTCCCTTTTCTCATGCATCTTCGCCTTGTGGCGGCCGGTACATGAATCAGTTCGGGTGCTTCATCCGGGCTTAGAGCTATGGGTAGGGCGATGGTCATTAAACAACGTTTTCCTGCATGCATCCCGCAGCGCATCTTAGGTGGAACATGTCCAGTTTGATCTGAGCCCAAGCCTCCCAGCTGCTACCTTCTCCCTCGCCTTGAGGGAGAAGGACCCTTTTGTTGCTGCCGTTTGATCATATTCCATGAGTCCTACCGAGTGCCCGATTGTCATTCAAAAGCCAGTGTGAATCTGAGCATTTCGAGAAAGGCATTTGGCCTGGCTGTCTCCTGTGTCTAGGCACGTTGCCGAAGACACTCCCCCAGCTCAGTGCCCAATTCAGGTTTGCCCACACGCTTCGTTGAATTCATGTTCGCAGCAGCGAGTCCTGCCAAGTGCGCTGACAATCAGGATACATATGTATATCTATCTATCTATCTATCTATCTATCTATCTATATATATATATATCCAAAAACATAAATGTGTGTCGGTTGGGCGAGGACTGAGACTGTTGTGATTCCATGCATGCAGCAGAGCCTGAGTAGGTTGCCAGGGAGGTTCATGTCTGAGACAGCCCGTGCAGAGGCTGTCCCAAACGAACTTGTGCAGCTTTCTTTCGGAGAGAGTGTGAGGCCTGATTGAGAAAGTTTTGATAATGCCCTGTACAACAACCAGACCATAATACTAGTCATGCTTCTCTCTGGGAGACCCTGGCATTTCGCATGGCTCCATCGTGGATTTGGTTCAGTCTTCGCTGTTCTTCCGACACTGCTGACTGTACAGCTGATTCTATGTCTATAGAGGCTACCCATGCCAAGATCCTTGGCGCGGCCGCCTTTCCTTAGCTATCGTTGCTCTTGCTAGCTCTTTGCTGTGAAGCTCTGGCATGGGGCACTTACATCCGCTTGACGAAAGGCAAAGGGTTGTTTCTGGGTTGCGCCCAGACATGTAGCAGATCCTTGCCTCAGACGCCTCACATCTGAAGAAAATGTTTCCCGAACGGCAAGGCTAGGCTGGTTCGGGTTAGGGCGCGTCAGATGTGTCATTGGCTGCGCAGTTCCTGCAGGAGGTGCAGAAGCTCCGCTCAGAGGCCACTTTCGGTGTGCCCATGTGCGCACTTTGCCTTGGGATTTCAGACTAGGTTGCCCGGTTGCCCCTTGTGAGTCATCCAACATCTGCATGTTCGCCACAATGTCAAAGCACTAGAAAGAAAGCCAAGCGATGACAACAGCCAGCCAGTTGTGGTTGCGAACACAAGCATTCTGCTCAATGCAAGAAGAGACAAGGAACAAGAACAGCACAAATAAAGGACAACGCCAAGTGCCGCAGTAGTAGCAGCAAGTATTTTGAGAAGAGCAAGATGGGGAAGAGCAGCAATAATGCAAAGGTTGGTGCTCGGAAGAGGCAGGGACAGGCATGGCAACGATGGCAGGACATCGGCTAATAACGGCAGAAATGCTTCTGCTGGATTCCTATTACCGTTGTTTTCGGAGCCTGTCTTCATTGTCGCATTTCGGCTTCAGCGTCCTGGCCCGCGGCGTCATGACGGCACCAGTGTACCTTGGCGAGCATTCTGCATATACTGCTGCTAGCAAACATAAGCATTATAAGAATCGGCAAGATTTCGAAATAAGACATCATGACTGCAACTTGCAGCCATCAATGAGATGATTTCAGTTTCGGTTCTCATGACACGCCATCAACAGCATCAGTATTATCAATGTTTTCGCTAACAGAGGGTCTCAAGGTCATAGCCTGGCCTAGCAAGTCGACACACTCTAACTCAAGGACAACCTGAGAAGTGAGACATCATGGCAACAGGGACCAAGTCTGCCTGCGTCTCTTTCTCGCTCCCTGTGTCGTGTCATCTTTGTTGTTGTGGTGGGCTGGCCATGTAGGCTACTTCTTGTTCTGCTTTCGATTCTTCTTTTGTCTTCTTCGTTGTCGTAGTTGTTGTCGCTCTTGTGGCGTCGGCTGCTGCAGCCGGCTGCAGCTGCCACCGCTGGTGCTGTGTGCCGTTGTCGTCGTGGCGGCTGTCTGTCTATGTCTCTGTCTGTGTATGTGTGTTGCTTTTGCTTTTGTTGTTGCTGCCGTTGTTGTTGCCGCTGACGCCACTGCTGCCCTTGCTGTTGTTGCTGCTAGCACTACTGCAGTTTCGTCTTGAAGTGAAAAATGTGAACTTCTCGTTTCCTTCTTGCTGTTCGGTTCGTGTTGATTCCAGACCGCAATCATGGATGCAAAGGAAGGCACATCCAATACCGCCGCCCCGTGGCAACGGCCTCGAGCGGGAGGCTGTCCAGACTGCCTGGAAGGCGAAGGCCCGATGTACCACTGCCTATATAAGCCCGTCATGTGCGTTAAATAGAGAGTGGCATATCCAGTCCCTGCGTTGCACACGAAAGCACTCTTTTCGAAACCTTCTTTTCGAAACCTCAGTCTTCACGGAACATTCCAAGTTCCAGGGTGCCAAGGGCTCAGGCTGCAGATTGGAGCCCCCTGCCAGGAGCTTCAGCGCGAGGCTGGCAAAGTCGAGGCCAGGGGTGCAGAGCGCTTGGCCCGGATCCCAGGCACATTCACCACATCATCACCATCAGCATTGTTCTCGTGTTCTGCCTGTAGTTGTTCGCGTTGTTCGATTTCTTGTTGATCACGTACGCCACTAAACATGAACATGAAGAGTATGACAGTTTTTGTACCTGTTATCCGAGGTTGTATTGTACTAGCAGCAGCCGCATCTCTGGAAGGCATGCCCTATTTGCAACACAGAGCCTGGGGCAGCGGGGAGATGGGCCGAGGTGCTGGCACAAGAGCGCTACCAAGCCTTCCGTGCCCAGCAGCAGAAGGCAGTCGCTGTGGAGTTCATGCTATGAAAGCGCGGCGAAGTTAGAGATGCCGACCCGTGGCAGCCTGTCCACGTTGCTGCGCTCTCTTGTGACTTCTGCTGAGGGCTCAGGGATTAGGCTTTTAGGTGCCTGTGCTTAGCAGAAGACGATGACATCCAAGCGGGGATCCTTTGGTGCCACGGTGGCCGTGGGCTTGGCCCTTGTGGCTGCCTGGAGCTGCCTCTGGAGACATGAAGAGGACTTCGTGAGCGGTGTGTCGGTGCAGCCCCGCGAGTCCTTGATGACCCGCTGCGCGGTGGACAAGGCGATGAAGGATCGCATCGCGTCTTTGGCGAAGACCGCCAAGCTCACCGATGCCATGCGCGTGGTCGCTGCCGCCAAGGTCCGCAACGCCCAGAACGGCGTAGAGAAGCAGCGTCCGTTCACCGACGAGCTCCTGAGCATGATCAAAGGCTTAGTAAAGCGACTCAAAGGCAGCGGCTTTGAGGCAGAGCTTCCCATGCTGCGAGTGCCAGAGAAGGTCAAGAATGTCGGCATCTTGATGATCACGGCCAATCGAGGACTCTGCGGGGCCTACAACACCTTCATCATCAAGAAGGTCCAGGCCCGTATCGAGGACCTGAACAAGCAAGGCATCGTGCCGAAGCTGTTTATTGTTGGCAAGAAGGGTCTGGCTTCCCTGCAGACGCGTCTGGCCAAGGGCGTGGAGTACAACTACACCGACGAGTGGTTCACCATGCCCGACACCATCAGGGCGAAGGATTCCGCCGAGATTGCGGAGGTGTTGCAGAACTACTTCTTGAGCGGAGAGGTGGACAAGATTGAGATTGCCTACGGCCGATTCATCAACCTGCTCAACAACGAGCCCTCGCTCCGAACTCTTTTGCCCCTCTCGCCCACGGGCATCGAGGACCCCGAGGATGAGACCTTCAAAATGACCACTGAAGAAGGCAAGCTGAAGGTGGAGAAGACGAAGGTGAAGGCTCCTAAGGCCAAAGAGATCGAGGCAGATGTGATCTTCGACCAGCCGCCAGAGGTCATCCTGAACTCCATGCTCCCGCTCTACCTGAACTCGCAGATCCTTTCCTTGATGTTCGATTCGCAGGCGTCTGAGCTTTCGGCACGAATGTCTGCCATGAAGGTCGCTACGGACAACGCGAACGATCTGCAGAAGAAGCTCATCCTCATCTACAACAAGAAGCGCCAGGCTGCTATCACTGCAGAGTTGTGTGAGGTGACGGCAGCCGCCGTGGCGCTGGAGGGAGGTGATGCTGGCAAGGCCGGCCCGAACCTCGGTGTCATGGACAACGAAGACACCATCAGTGAGGACTTCATGAAGGAGTTGGAGGATGGCTCCATCTCGGACACGCCGCAGAAGCCCGAGGAGATCGGACCGACAGACCGCTGGGAGTTCATGAAGACGCTGCCCAAGGGCGAGGGCTTCTGAG